GCTCAGCTATACATGGGATTTTAAAAATCAAAAAAATCATACAGACGCTGTTGCTAAATCTTCTCACATGTCCCTGTGTACTGAAATAGCACTACATTTTCCTCAGGTCATCGGGAAGACATTCTTCAAGAATTGGAGAGCCAATTTCTTAATTTAACATTTCATCTCATTCCTCTACCTTGGCCTCCCTTTCTCAGAGCAGGGCACTTTTCCCATCTTCTTGTCTTTTAGGGTGAAGATACAACGACTTTTTCCACATGTACAAACTTATAACACAAGCAAACAAAAACTATACGACGTTTTACAAGCAAATTTTGCAAGTTCTAAGAAGTCAACTGAAAATCTGTCTCCAAAAGACAGGTAAAACAAAACAGTCGGGTGTGACGGCACATGCCTGTCATCCCAGCACTCAAGAGGCTGAAGAAGGACCACAAATTCAAGTCCAATTTTGAGACCATGTCTCAAAATGAAAAAAAAAAAAGAGAACTGTGGATGTAGCTGAGTGGGGAGGCCCTGGATTCCACCCACACAAAACAAGCCCCACTTATCTTCCACAGTGTAGGAGTACAGCTACAGAGGAAAAAGTAAATACCACGCTTCTTTCCCTTGGCACAGAAATTGGCTTCCATTTTGGGGATTTTTTTTTTTTTTTTTGTCTTTTTGAGACATGGTCTAGCTAGGCAGTTCAGGCTGGCCTTGAGCTCACTTTGTAGCCCAGGCTGGCCTCAAACTAGCAACGATCCTCCTGCCTCAGCCTCCCGAGTGCTGGGATTACAGGCGTGTCCCACCCCGCCTGGCACTATTTTGGGGAATATAAATAAAACTGGATCACTGCCCTACTAAGTGTGCCTATCACAGTAAGGAAGCCAACCCAATGCTATGTAACAGGATCCAGGACCGAACTGTCCGTGTATGTTAGGAAAACCTTGTGCCACTTCGCTGTGCCTGCCCTAGCCACTTCCCAGATGGTGCTGGGATCTTGCCTTTCGATATAACTAGGTTTAATCCTTAAGTTATTAAAAAGTAAGGAAAGGAAAGTATGATCAACCTTTTACATCAAAGTCCCTCCATAAATTTTTTTGGTTCTCAGCATTACGTACTCCTGAGCAAAGACAGAGGCAGGGAAATTAAGTCATTCCTTTCTAGGTTGAATTGGTTAGGACGCCTCCAGCGCACCGAGGAGTTAGAAGGCGGTTTTCATTTACACTAGCGGGTTTTTATTACACATGGGAACCAGCTCTAAATCACCAGCCCGAGTCAGGTTTGAGTTTAAATTGTTTATCATTACACAGGAACATTCTGGGAGGGAGGGGGTCTGAGAAGAGTAGGTAGAGTTGAAAGTGTCCTTAGCCAGGCCAGTGTGTTCTGGGCGCAACGTATAGAGTCCGTGAAGCAAGTGGAAACAAAGCTCCACGTGCACATATTTTAAGCTGAGATGCTGCAGCGGGGTGTGGTCAGGCTGGCCTGGGCGGCACGTGGAAGCAGCAGCTGGACGCAGACAGTCAAGGTCAGCTGAGCCCAGCGGTGTAACTGTATGGCGGGGAGCATGAGCACAGTCACAACTATGAACTGATTTTTAACTTTCACTAGAAAATGTCTATAAATTTGCTATTCTTGGATTTTGTTCTTACAACACTGACATTTCAGGAGGGAACACAAGGGGGACAGAGAGTGAGAGAGTCTGAATTCATGTCTCCATTCGGGATACAAAGAGCAAATAGAGGCCTAAGAGCTCCTTGGAAGCAGAGACAAGAGAAATTATAAATGAGTGCGCCCTCTGTCACATTGTAGAATGATATGTGACCAAACTCATAGTCTACAAAAACGCCAACTTTTTGCATTTCCTTTTGCAAGCAGACCTTTTTTAAAGGGGGAAAGACCCAGAAAGTATACTCAGCCCCCATCACGGCTCCCATGAGGAGGAATTTATCTGGAGAAGCTCCGAGCACTTGGTCCTGGTTGCCTGTGGAGTCTCCGCACACCCCCAACTGCCAGCGTGCCGCCTTGCCCACCGCCACCTCCCAGTAGTGCTTTCCTGAGCTGAAGCCCTCCGCGCCCTGCACGGAGGCACTGAAGTCGAAGCGCCCTGGGCGTCCGGGCACGTCCTGCTGGGCGTTTCTGAGTCTCACAGTTCGCAGGTCTTCAGAAAAGGCCAGGCAAGGATGAGCTGTTTCAGGATCCAAAGTTATCTGTCCTGCAGACGGAGAGAAATTTAAATCACAGAGGCATCCGTCCAAACCAATGCCAGAGATGAACTTTTTATATGCAGGTTCTTCCCAGTGAGCAAGAGCAAGTCTCAGGCAGATACGGGGAATCTCGGAGGTTCCAGGCAAAAGAGCCTCAGCTTTTTCAATAGGTGGACACTACGGAAAAGGAGTAAGATGATGGAAAAGGATACCATCAAGGAACGATTCGTGAGGGAAAAATACAGAACGAAGACTAGCGGAGGAGAGCTTTAGAAGTACCTTCACCCCAGAGGCTGTAAGGTTGTCCTGGTACCCAGTCCCCCTCAGGGGATCCACCTCTAGTCCTCTAAAGACTTTTTTCCCAATCCTGGAACAGCCAGAAGTACTGGTGGCAGCTAAAAGAACTGTTGATTCATGGCTGTTCCCTGTGTCTCAATCACTCCACTCATCTTAAACATCTCCTGTGCGGTATAAATCCCTAAAGCTGCTGACAGCAAGTACTTGATACTAAGTAAATCAAAGGAAAACATATTATAGGAGAAGCAAGAAAACCTATGAGACTTCTCCATAAAATCAGAGAACGCAAAGTAAGCTCAGTGTGATCCCTTACACTCAAAGGAAACTGCCGTTTGCCCTTTTCAGATCTTAGACTGCTGTTCCTATCTCTGCCCAGCCCCCAGATTTGTGAATTTCTTGGAGCTTAGTCCTGGAGACTTCCTTCCTTTTACCATTTTCATTTTCTTGGGCAGGTAACCTCAGCCCCAGTTTTAAATATCTTCTGTATGTTCACAACTCACTCCACAAGCGCACTCTCAATTACTAGGTGGGTGTAACGGGAATGTCAAACATAATACATCCAAAATGGAACCCAAACCCCACTCCTCTCCACTCTCTACTCCCCAGATAATAGTACCCTTGTTGCTTTAGTTGATTAAGCTATAAATCTGGAGTAGTCCTGTATTTCTTACTTTCTTTAACATCTAATCCAGCAGCAAGTCCTTTAACTTCTATTACTTAACTTCAGTAAGTTAAATTGACTTAAATCTTTGGACCAGCAGTCCAGTTCACATTATTAGAGCAGTCCCAAAGCCACAGGCCTTGAACTTTAAAGTGCAAGTCAGCCCAGACTCTCAGTATTTCCAGGAGACTAGCAGAAACCACGAAAGCTTTCTCTGGAAAATATATTGCTTTATTCCTGGCAACAAAGAATTTCTCAAAATAATACCTGAGGAACAAAGGCCAACTTAGTATCCAAAGTTAAAGGATATACATTCACAAAATAGAAAACTACTATTGACCAAGACTGGCAGAAATCAATCTGTAAGGAACTTTAAACACTGGAATTACTAGGCACAGACTTTAAAATAACTTTGCTTGCTATGCTTGAAGAAAAAATACTAAAAAATCTATATAGGAAATAAGGGCAGGGGTAGAGCTGCATGGTAGAATGCATGGTTAGCAAAAAATGTGTACAGATTATAAAAACTAAAAAGCAAGCCTAAACCATTTAACAAAGAACCAAATAGATCATCCAGATCTCGGCTGGGGATTTAGCTCAGCGGCAAAAGCACCTGCCTGGCAAGCGCAAGGTCGTGAGTTCGGTTCCCGGTACCGGAGAAAAACAAAAACAAAAACAAAAAAAAAAAAAACAAGATCATCCAGATCTCAAAAACAAAATGGATTAATTTCAATGTGCCAGAAGGTGATTACAGAGCAAGCAACTATAGACTGTCACTCATGAATCTCGATGTAAAAATTCTTAACAAAATGTTAGCACAGCAAACATGCCAATATATGAAATGGACAAAACATTATTACCAAGAATTTATCCTAAGAATGTAAGACTATTGTGTATATGTATGAAAATCTATCAACACAATCTATCTTATTAATAGTTTCAGAAAGAAAAAACATTAAGAGACAGAAAAGGAGATTAGAAAATTTCAACAGTCATTCATGAGAAAAGTTTTCATCAAAGTAAGAATAAAGATATTTTTTAGTTGAACAGCAACTATAAAAAGCATACAATAACATCAAATTTTAGGGTAACAGGCTAATGTTTCCTTTCGCTCTACAGTCAAGATCAAGGCGAGTATGTATTCTCACTACTCCTGTCTAACATCCTGCAGGACTGAAACAAGTACAGCAAGACACTGGAAAGGAAAATATAAACTTATCCATATTTGTATAAGATGTAATGAAAATTATGGTGAAAGTTTAAATTTTAAGAACTTATTATTACAGTAAGACTCACTGCCATTAATCACCTTCAAAATACTCATTTTTGCCACTTTTTTCCTGTTTTCTGTTTTCTTCAGACAGGGTCTTGCTATGTCGTCTAGGCTGTCCTTGAACTTACTATGTAGCCCAGGGTGGTCTTGAACTTGTGGTGATCCTCCTGCCTCAGCCTCCCCAGTTCTAGAATTCCAGGCATGAGCAACATGCTGGGCTCTTGTTATTTTCTGAAGCAGTTCTAGAAGTCTTTACTTGTGTCTTTAGTTGTGCTGTTGTGGTATTAATGTTGTGAACTGATTCAAAATGTTTACCTTTCACGGTCATTTTGGCTTTGGGAAAGAGCCAGAAGTCACACAGTGCCACATCCAATGAAGACGGTAGATGAGGACTCACGGTGATGTTTTTAGGAGCCTGTCTTTCCACTGAACAGCACTTGGCAAGAACATCCGTCATGTTTTTGATCAAACAGCTTGGAGACACTCAGGAAAGAGGACTTGCGGCACTGCCTCAGAAGTGGCAAGAGTGATGGGGCTGCAGTTTCAAGGACATTCTGAGGGGGAACTGATGGCAGTACGCCTCTTACAATAATAATTTTTTGGGTCAGGGTCTGGAGTTCAGGCTTGCCTTGATCTCACTGTGCAGCACAGGCTGGCCTGAAACTCGTGGCGACCCGCCTGTCTCACTCTGCAGAATGGTGGGCTTGTAGGCGTGTGTCACCACAGCTGGCTGTAATGCGTTTTTACTTAAACACACACCGTAATTTTTGATCAGCACCTTATAGACAATATGGCTGTCCTAGAAGAATATATCATGGAATCTATATATGCTTGACATAGTTATAAGATACAAATGGCAATATAATTTCTATCTCTATAATAAACTAGAAATAGATAAAATTTGAAATCCAAATTGGTATTTAGAAAAACTATTTATAATAGCACTAAAAACATAAAATATATAGGAATCAATCTCATTAAAACATAAAATCCTTACATGTTAATATTGCTTATGTCATCACAGTGTTCTGCCCAAATTGTCCTACAGTTTAAACATAACACCTCTCAATTCCAGTGATATTATTTGAAGTCAACAAAGTTGATTGTGAAACTTATGTGGAAACTGAAAACTCTAGAATAGACCAACTATTTAGAAAAGCAGTTAATTTGAGCAGCGTGTGGTGACACATTCCTGTAACCCCAGCCCCTGAGAGACTGAGGCAGGAGGATCACAAGTTTAAGCCTGGGCTACAGAGCAAGGTACGGGCCAGCCTGGACAACAATAGCAAGATGTTATTTGAAGAGATCACATAATTTATTAATTAGGAGAACTCACACTGCCTGCTTTCAAGACTTCCTACAGAGTTATCCATCAAGTCAGTACGGTATTGGCAAAAAGACATAATGATCAACAGACCTATTAGAATCCACGACAGGCCTGGTGACATACACCTGTTCAACAGAAGGGCCAAATGCAGTGCTTTTGACAAAGACACTGAAAACTCATCTCCAGTTGGCACCAAAATAACTGGATAGTCATGCACTAAGTAGTAACAAAAACACAGGAGAAAGAGAGTATTTGCACCATGTCTTGAAATGCGTACAGTTTTTATTCCAGTAGATTATACACCTAAATGCAAAATATAAAACTATAAAATTTCTAGAAGAGCATCTCTGTTGGGGCAGGCAAAGACTTATTACTGAAACACAGAAAACCCAAACTGCGCCCCCCACCAAAATGTGAGAAATTGAACTTCATCAAAGTTTCTAGTCTTCAAAAGACATCGTTGGAAAAACAGTAATATAAATCTATGAGAAAATACTTGCAAGAATATATATCTGAAAAAGAACTGATATGCAAAATATACAAAAAAAATCTCAAAACTCAGTAAGAAAACAGAAAACTCCATTTTAGAAATAAAGGTTTGGATATGTGACACCAAAAGAGATGAAGAGAGTAAATAAATACATGAAAATACATCCAGTTATTAGTCATCTCAGAAATATAAATTAAAATAACAGTGAGATACCACTACCTAACCGTAGGTTAGATCTAAACAACCAAATCAGTTGTACCGAGCACCGGCGAAGTTGTAGGGTCACTGATCTGCTTATGGACTACTGATATGCATGCAAAGCGGCAAAGGTAGTTGGCAAACAAATTCGGCAATCCCACTCCTCGAGAGCTAGTCAAGAATAACCAAGTCATGTTTATGCAAATATCTGTATGCAAAAATTACAGCTCACTCCTGGACACAACCCAAATGTCTGTGGAACTGCAAAAGAATAAATAGATTATGGCGTTTAGAAAATGGAATACTCTCAGCAATAAAGAGGGACAAACTGCTGATACACGTGGTACCTTGGACGTACCTCACTTGAATTATGCTGAGTGAAAGAAGCCAGACTCCAAAGGCCAGGCACTATTTCTATGATATTCGATGACGCCCAGGATAGGTCCCTCTGGGAAAAGCAAAACTACATGGAGAGGACGTATCAATCCTTGTTTGTACGTGGTGCAATATTACCCCTGAAGTTTTAAATACATAAGGAGTAGAACCTGCCTGCAGTTATGTATGAGGGATGGGACAATGGTAAAGAATTTTCATAAGAAATTTATACATTTTCTTGATACAGCTACCTCATGAGTGTAGCACATTATGCTTGCTAATCTTTGAACTACTAAAATTTGTTTTTGCCGGGCATGGTGGCACATGCTTGTAATCCCAGCACTTGGGAGGCTGAGGCAGGAGGATCGTTGTGAGTTCGAGACCAGCCTGGGCTACAAAGTGAGCTCAAGGACAGCCTGAACTGCATAGTGAGACCCTGTCTCAAAAAGACAACAACAACAACAACAAAAAATATTTTCATTTATGTTTTTTTTTTTAACAGATTCCTGCTGTGTAGTGCAGGCTGGCTGAACTCTTGGTGATCCCTCCTTCAGCCTCCCTCGGGCCAGGACTACGCCCAGCAAGAGTTGAACTGTATCGTGTGCTCACGGATGCACGGCAGCTTACTTTGGTGCACGGTTAGCATTTTGCTCCTTCTTTTTATTTGACACGAACTCAGGTCTGTGATGCGAGCTGGCACGAGGGGCTGAAGAAGTAGTGACTCAGTTCTATTAAAAAAAGGGAAAAAGACAATGTGAGCTGCCTGCGTGGGGGCCGGGCCTCCATGGAGAGGGCGACCTCTCCCACTCTCAGGAGACAGAGCCCCCCCATCCCTCCCAGGCTCGCTCACCTCTGAGTGCTCAGCGCATCAGACTCCTGCTTCTGACCCTACTGTGCGCACAAGGAACTTACCTTTCCAAACAGTGTCTTGCATTCTAGGAAGAAAAAACAAAGACATAAAGTTACTTCTGGATATTTAAACCACCTGCTTTGTAAGCTGTACACGTGGAAATATCCTATTGCCACGATGAACTTGATTTCCATGTAACTTCCTTAGTCTCACAGAACTAATTCTGAGAAATCAAATTTTAACATGGAGTAGGAAGAAGTCTTGAAATAATTTTGATGTATTCCTAAGGGAAATGTTGCTTAAAGTGGGGCTCATGTATTTGCTTTCTGCACTCACAGTGGTAGGACTTGAGCGAAGGAAGGGCCCCAGGTCAGGAGGGAGCCGGAGCCAGGGCAGGAGCGGAGTGAAATGGGCCACACCCCTGCACGGCCTGTGACTAACCCTGGCCTAGAACTGAGCTCTCCCTTAGAGGTTTGCCTACAGAGGCTTTTCAATAATTATTTTATTAATTTGAGAAATGTAAGTTTATTTATTTTTAGTTTTTACCTATTATGACTCTTCACTTCTAATGAATTTATAAATGTAACTATCCATCATATTTTATGATAACTTTGTTGATCAAGTGTTTACAGTCATTGTGTCAAGTGAAAGCACGCTGTGTCCTCATCTGCCTCCTTCACTGGATCTGGCATGTGTGACTTCTGGCTCCTCAAAATCAAAATGACCACAAAAGGGGAACATTTGAAATTGATTCAGGCAGAGAAGCATCCTTAAAGCATAACTACAGACACAAGACAGGCCTTCCGGAAGTGCTGCAGGAAGTGACATGAACAATGAATGCTTGAAACAATTTTTTTTTTTAAATGTATAATTCCCCATATTTGGTAACACCTTATAGAGCAAGTGTTACTAATGAACCAAAATGTAAAAATCCTCAGTAAAATGTTAGTAAATTTAGTTCAGTAGAACATTAACAGGATGTTAATGACTCAGTAAAAATTATTCCAGGGATGCTGGGTGTCAGGTATTTTGTCCCAGCAATGAAAGAAGAGTAACCAAGACAGTACTGAAAATCTTAGCCATGCAGTGAGGCTAAATAAATAAAGTTAAGTAAATAAATCAAAAAACCCATGCAAATCAAAACAAAGCAAATTATTTATTATTCTTTTTAATGGTTTGATCAGTCTTGCCTTCTTACATCTGGTATCTTTGTTGATAACAATATGTGATATAACAACCACTGTTAATTCCCATCATTTGGTTTTGAAACCTTGTGTCATTTTTATTGTTTTTGCCTGTGTTGTTATTTTTATTCTCTTTAAAATAAAAAAGTAAAATAATGTCTTTGCAGATAACATGTATATATATCTCATGTGTATCTATATATATATATAGATACACATATATAACATGCATATATATATCTCTATCTCCCCAAAGACCTCATCAGAGTTAGAACTAACAAATGGGACTGACTGCCTCAAAAGGACTTAGCACAACTTTTGACCGAATATAGACCATACCGAAAGATATTCTAATTACCAGTAAAGCAATGGAAGTTGTAATAAGAAAACAACAAGGAAGCTCCTGATGTGCAAGACACAGTCCCAAAATAAAACATTTCATGGAAGAGATCAGCTGAGGATCTGAACTCACAGAAGAAAAAATGAAAATCTGAAGAATGAAATGAGAGAAAAAGTGTAACCGCCTCTGAGAAAGATGTGACCCACTCTGATGGCAGAAATCTTTTCTCCCTTTTAAAAAAAATTACTACTGAATAGTCCTGTGCACATTACCTGTATTCAACTTGCTCTTTGCTCTGTGATTCCAATGTGAAGACTATCAAAACTTGCGTCTTTGATAATCTGTTCCCTTCTTGTTTTGTGCTTTTTCTCTGTATGCTTCAATGTAAGAATGTTTCCACTGACCAGTTTTTGAGTTAACTACAATTGCTGGGTGGGGGAGCTGGCGCACACACCTATAATCTCAGCACTTTGGGAGGCTGAGACAGGAAAATCACTGCTGAGTTCGAGGCCAGCCTGAACTGCATAAATAAACCCTGTCTCAAAAAGACAAAAACCAAAATGAAACAAAAAAAACACCAAAAACCCAAAACCAATGAACTACAATTAAGTGACTCTGTAATCTGATCTGTGCAGTATACTGCTCAATCCACCTGGGGTTCTTATCATGTATGATAAGTTTTAGTTCCACAAATCTGTTCAATAAGCTTAAAGTTTCCAAGGACAGTCTACATTCATTCTTATATTTTGTACCTTTTTTCATTTTAAAATGTATTAATGCTAACAATTTTCTTATGTACTGTTGTTCTACTGACAATCATCCTGATGCTTATAGTTTCTCATTCAGTTTTCTTCTTTCTTATTCTCTAATGAAAGGTCATTTTTCCTTCTCGAGACACGTGGAAATATTTTATTGTATACAGGTGACTAAGTATAACATAGCCATAGAATCTCCAGAGATACCTCCTGGGGATTTTCCCTTTTCCTCTGGCAGAAAGATAGGCAAAAGCGCTGATTACCCGTCAGTCATGGAGTGACCTACGTCAGAGATGAGTTTTATTAGACTTTAGCCTACGCCTTTACTTGTACTGTTCAAGCATAGCGCTGTTACACTGTTCCCTGGAGTCTGCGCAACGTCCCAACACAGGTCTGAATGAGTAGCACAGCTAACCTCTGTTCATTGGAGATTCACAGCCTGAGCTTTCCTGCCGTAGTGCATGCAAATTCAAAGCCAGGTTTAACAGAGAAACAGTACCCGTGCATAGACAAGCCCATTTCTATTTTTTCTGTTGCCTAAAATACAACATGACTTTTAAAAACTGTAACTTCGGGGCTGGGGACGTAGCTCAGCGGCACAGCGCCTGCCCGGCAAGCTCAGGGCCTAAGTTTGGCTCCTGGTACCAAAAAAAAAAAAAAACCACTATGCTGAAAAACTGTAACTTAGAAATTTCAGACTAACTCACCAGCACCCACAGAACCTTGAAATTCAGCGACATGGGAGCAGGGTCCCCAGTGTTACCCCCACAGAAACGTCTCGGTGAGGGGCAATCTACACATGACCGCGCTGCTCATGAACGAAAGGAGCCAGGCAGGGAGGCCATGCAGCCCTTGAAGACAAGTGCAGCCACGGCGGGGCGGGTGGAGAGCGGTTCTCTCCACCACAGCACCCACCCCCAAGTCACGTGCCACACCAGGTGCAGAAAGTCTCACTGCTCTCACGATTTCCCACTGCAAAGAGTGAGCGGAGGCGGACATCGGGCACCCCACTGTCCCAAGTCTTGTGCAGGAGACTGACTCTTCTATCAGTCCACGTGGAGTATTACCCAGCGAGGTGAAAAGTGGCAGCGGGGGACAGGGACACAGGAGCCAGCGCACAGAGCTGGGCAGCAGCTCCCCACCTTGCCGGGAGGACGCTGCACAAGCCGGGGTTTTCGGTGTGTGCTGCTCTGGAAGCGCGGTCCAGACACTCTGGAAGCGCAGATGGCTTTACAGCCAGCTGGGGTCCTCTCCGCGACCCCCGGGAGCCCCTCCAGGTAGGACACTGCCAAGTGAACAGTCAGTCTGAGCTTTTGTGTCCTTGATGCTAAAAAAGAATACAAGCAAAAGTTCACTAGATTTTTAAACAAGTCACTCAAAAATAGAACACTGATTATCAAAGCCAGATTGCAAAGAGAATAAATACCAACTATGTCCATGCACAGATAGAGATGCAGGTTTACACAAAATAAGAATAAGGAAATAAGGCCTCAACAAATAGAAAACATAAAGTACCAGCAACTGATCCTGAAGGCATATGAATGATTTTCCAGACAAGGAATCTGGAGTAGTTGTTTTAAGACAACTCTGTGAACTCTAAGAACAGTCTCCCAATTTATTGAAAAATTTTAACAGAAAGATTGAAATAAAAAAAATCTAACCGTGATCCTGGAGGTGAAAAATATGAACAAAATGAAACATGCAGTAGAAAGTATCAGCAACAGAACTGATCGGATGAGAGAAGTGATCAGTGAGTTCAAAGACAACAATACAGGTAGAAAAGCAGCAAAATGAAAGGAGAAGGAACCAGAACTACAGGATCGATGGGAGGCCACGGGGAGAAGGAATCCGTAAGTCTTTTGCATCAAGGAAGAACTGGAGAACTACAGAGGAATAGAGAGGTTATTCAAAGGAATGATAATGGAAAACTTTTTAAATATGGAGGAAAAATTTGAAAATCCAGGTATGAGAAAATCATAGGTCACCCGTAAAATCCAGCCCACAGGAGAAAATTCCATGACATATTACAATCAAATTCTCAAAGGTCAGAGAAGCAGAATGCTGAAAACCATAAGAAGAAATGAAGCAAATAGAATAAATGTGTTTTGTTACGCCTGGAAGAGGACTTCTCAACAGAAACCCTGCGTTCAGGACGGAGTGGGATGAAATATTCAGTGTGCTGAGGGAAAAACTGCCAGCTGGATCCAGCAAAACAAAGCATTTCCTGAAAACAAACACTGAGGAACTCAGTGCTGCGGATGACAGGATCCTTTACACAAAACAAAACACACACACACACACACACACACACACAATCACCCAAAGACTCCTAGAATAAATACATTCAGCAATGTATCAGGTTACAAAAATCAACGATGTCCCTGTACATCAATGATAAATTCACTGAGAATGAAATTAGGAAAACAATAGCATAAGGAAAAATTAAATATTAGAAGTTAACCTAACCACAGAACTGAAGGACCTCTACCACAAAAACTAGAGTACTCGGAGAAAGACTGAAGACATCAGAAAATGAAGAGATGTCCCCTGTTCCTGGATGGGTGGAACAGATCTTGTCATAACGGCCACGCTTCCAGAACTGGTAAGACAGATTTAACAATCCCAATGACATTACCAACAGCGTTCCTCACAGAACTAGCTAGAGAGACCTCTCCAGTACAGGTGTGCGGGACCCAGCAGAGTCAGCCGTCTGCTCTGTCCTAAGTGTGCGGAATGCTTGCAGCCAAAGGCTCCCAGGACTCTGGGCTGGGAGTGAGAACACTTTAAGGACCCGAGTTCTCTACTCCAGACACAGAACAGCAAAGCATTGCTGGGCAACAAGAGCCAAGCAGGAGATATCACAATCCTGATTTCAAGTTACACTGCAAAACTAGAGATAAAACAGCACAGTACTGGCTCAGAAACATGAGGACCATGGAAGAAAATGGGGCAAAAACTGAGGCCAGAGGAAAGAGAGCCTCTTTAACAAATGGTGCTGCGCAAACCGGCATCCTCACGCAGAAGACTGTAACCCAGGATCTCTCACCACGCACTAAACTGAAATCAAAATGGATCAAAGATCTAAATGTTAAAACAGAAACGATCTGCTGGAAGTTAAAGTACCCCTTAAAGACCTAAGGGTGGACCAGGACTTTCTGAATAGAGCCCCAGTTGTATAAGAAACAGTACCAAGAATCAACAAATGGGATCATATCAAATTTAAAAATTTCCGCACAGCAAAGGAAACAATGAGAAAGTGACAACTTGTAGAATGGGAAAAAAATTTTGCCAGCTATTCCGTATCCAGAATGTGTAAAGAACTGAAAAAAAAAAAAGAAAGTGAGACCTGGCAAAACAAAAGATCAAATAAAAAAAATGGGCAGTTGAAATGAACAGACATTTTCAGAAGTACAAATGGCCAATAAATACATAAAAATGTTCAACATCTCCGACATTCGAGAATTACAAATTAAAACAAAACTGAGATTCCACCTTACTCCAGAAAGAATTGCTATCATCAAGAATAATAAAATAATAGCCAGGTGTGGTGGCATATGCCTGTAATCCCAGCACTCGGGAGGCTGAGGCAGGAGGAGCATTGTGAGTTCGAAACCAGCAAGGGCTACAAAGTGAGCTCAAGAACAGACTAAACTGCATAGCGAGACCCTGTCTCAAAAACACACAAAAAACCAAAAAACACTAGCATAGCTGGTGGGGGGCGGCCCATGTGGACTGTTGGTGGGAATGTAAGCTAGTAACTACTATGGAAAACATTATGGAGATTACTCAAACTAAAACTAGGATTCCATTTGATCCCGCAATTCCCCTTCTAAGTATCTTCCTGAAGGAGCTAAAGATCATATTACAGTGATACATTCATACCCACATACACAGCACCACAGCTCATACTAGCTACATCTAGAAGCAGCCTGTATGTCCAGCAACAGATGAATGGATAAAGAATGTGTATTATTTATACACAACAGAGTGCTACTCTGCCATAAAGAAGGAAAAGCTTCCCTCATCTGCAGGAAAACAGACATATATCTTGAGACCATAATGTTAAGTGAAAAAAAATCACATGCTTGAGCTTAAACATCGCATGGTTTGTCTTTTACCAGGAAGCAAAATGATAAACAGTGAAGAAAAAAGGTCTACATCTTGTACACTTCAATGCTTATATCTTGTACTCTGAATAACCAATTTAAAGATAACAATACTCTGTATTAACCATTGTTACTCTTTTTTTTTTTTTTTTTAATTTTTTTTTTTTTTCTTTTTAATATAAAAAAAAACCACCTAATCACACATAGTAAAAAAAGAGAGGAAAAAAAGAAAAGAAAAACAAAGAGAAGAAGAAACGCGGTGATACTCTTGAAAAGGCAAGGGGACACAAGGCGCAGAGGCGTGGGGAGGGGGATGGGGGAGGGTTGGGGGGGCACGCACTGCGGCCCAGGAGGAAGCAATCCCGCGGTACTACAGCCACATAGCAACAGAAAATGCAAACACTAACTTTTCTTTTTTTTTTTTCCCGGTACCAGGAATAGAACTCAAGACCTTGCGCTTGCCAGGCAGGCGCTGTGCCACTGAGCTACATCCCAGCCCCAACATTTATTTTTCAATTTGTTATTTCAAACCTTTATTTCTAATCAATTATGCATGCGCGCGGGGCGCTAAGCACGTGACGCCCGCGGGCACGTCCAGTTCGTTGTCCCGCTCTAACGAACCGGACTGCGAGGTCACGAACCGGACTGCGCGGTCACGCGCGGGAGAGGCGTTTCCGCCTGCAGAGCGAATTCCGAGATGAAGACACTGGCGGAACCGGTGTCTGCAGGGGCCATCCACAGCTTTCCCCCCCAACTCAGAACCCGCACGGTGAGAGGCCAGGTGTCTCCCGGGCCCCCTCCCCGGAGCCCTAATCCCACCTGAGCGATCCCCCCAGGTGGCAGTCACCTCCCAGTGCGCGCCCCCTAGCGGTGAGACGTCAACATATGTACACTTTGGGTGCGCACGCATTCTGACCACTGCAAATAGGGCTCCAATGAATCTGTTGTCTCCCACGGGTGCCGCTGATGACAAAGTGTGTGGGTTTTCCCCAAAGTCTGTGAGTACTAACAAGTACATATACACACATATAAATATACTTATTCTCCAAAAACCAAACAAAAAGTAGTTCTAAACTTTTTCATTAATGATGTCTGAAGATACTACTTTAGTGGCTGGGGAGCTGCTGTGCTCCTTTTCGTGGCTGTGAAACCCCCCCTGTATGGACGCATCACCCTTTAACGCATTACTCGTCCTGTCGAAGCACATCGCAGTTCACATTACTCTTGACAATTTTAAGCGAAGAGTTTTTAGTCTTGAAGCAGCTCTCCACCGTACCATGATTTTATAATGGTTCACAATGCTCTTTAAATGTAAGAGTTTTTAACATATGTTAAAACAGAAACGTTTTACATACGCTATCATGATGTTTTAATACATGTATTGAATGTGTAACACTTGAATCGGGATAAGTGCACGTATTCCTTAAAAATTTGTTATCTCTTCTCAGCTGGGTATGATGGCAAATGCCTGTAATCCCAGCTGCTTGAGAAGATGGGAAGAGAGAATCACAAATTCAAGTGTGTGGCCCTGTCTCCAAATAAAAATTTTAAAAATTTATGGTAGAAACATTCCAAATCCTTCCCTGTACTTTCTGAAACACAGTGCACAGTGTATTGCTGTTACCGACACTCACCACACCACGCTCCTGCACACCACACCTTCTCAGCCTCCTCTGTCTACGGCTTAGTACCAGGGATCAGCCTCCCTCCCGCCGTTCACCTAATCTTCGCCAGCTTTTGGTGGTCACCGCTGCGCTCACCTTCCGAGACCAACTTTTTTAGATTATCCACGTATGAGTAAGGTATGTGGTTCTTGTCCTCTTGTTCCTCACTGAGTTCACCTGATATAACGATCCCTAGTTCTATCCAGTTTGTTCCAAGTGGCAGGATTTCACTTTTCATTACCAAATAGTACCCCATCGAGAATAGGAAACATATTACACAGCCATAAAGGATAAAATGGAGTCTTTTATGGGTAAATGGATGCAACTCAAGACCACACTCATAAGTGAAATAAATCAGACCCATATGTGTAAACACCGTATTGTCTCACTAGTGTGGGCAAATGAACAAGTAAATAAGGTCCGAAATGTCCAATAGATATTGTGAATTGGGATGAAACTGTTCAAAAGAAAAGACAAACAGATGAAGGAAAGGGAAAAGGAAGGAAGGAAAAAAGGAAAAAATATATAGTTAAGATAGAGCAAGCCAGTTAAGACAGTTATACAGCTAGCTTCTCTTAGTTCATTGAAATGAAAGCTTTATGCTAACATTGTACAGATAAGATATCTTGCCTGTATCTTCTCCTCTGAATCACTACTAGGAAGACAACAATATGCAATACATCAACTATTATAACTGTCCCCCTAACCTGTTTTGAAACTGGGTTTCATTATGATGTTTATCTTTTTTTCCTCTCTAAAATAAAATTTTAAAAAAAAGAAAAGTAAAGATAAGTTAGGAAAAGCTGAGCAGGTTTCCTTCAGACAGTGGAAATTTCTTTCAGGTGATAAGAGAATAATAATTGATCAGAAATAATTATAATAATAATAATTTTAGGGGCTGGGGATTTAGCTCAGCGGCAAAAGCGCCTGCCTGGCAAGCGCAAGGTCGTGAGTTCGGTTCCCGGTACCGGAGAAAAACCAAAAAAAAAAAATAATAATAATAGTAGTAATAATAATAATTTTAAAAAAGTATGAAACACATTTTATTTATCTTCTCATGAACCGATGGACACTTTCTATTTCTTGACTATTGTGAACGGTGCTGCAATAAACATGGAGTGCAGATGTCCCTTTGACTATGACTTCCGCAGTAAACACACCCAGTGTGGGACGTGGGATCACAGGGTAGGTAGCTGTGTTTACCTTTTTGGGGAAACTCTATCCTGTTTTGATAATGCTGCCCTCATTCACCTTAGCGCTGGCAGGGAGCTGAGCGCTTCTGACAACCAAACAGTGGCGGTCACTGGACCCTCTCAGTGACCCCGTCAAGAACTGCCCACTTCCCGTTTCTTCCCTGGAATGAGGACTTATTCACAGTCTCACCTGGAGTAAGGCTGCGGCAGGACGCCCACACTTCTCCTCCACCTCTGCAGTGAGCTTTCGCAGGCTGCAGAGCTGCTGAGAAACCTTGGCTTCGTTCTCCTTCAGTCTATTCATGTTCTCTCTCGCCAGAGAGTCCAGTCTCTGCAGAAGAACCTCTGTTACTATTGGACTACTAGTGCATTTACTTTGGTAATTAACCATGTCTTTAAAGCCTGTCTCCTGCTGGAGTGGTAGAGCGTGCCTATAATCCCAGCACTGGGGAGGCTGAGGCAGGAGGACTGCCACAAATTCAAGGCCAGCCTGAACAATACAAGATTTTGTGTCAAAAAACCAAAACCAAAACCAACAAAAATCCAGGTTTTCTGTTTGCAACCCCAAAAACAGACATAATTAAGCAAGGCTATCATGTTCCTCAGTGTCAAGTGAGACATCTTTCCAAAGGTAACTCTTTGGCCCCTGAGATGTTTAATTTAAGGTGCACCCATGTAGTCTGTTTCCTCTGATTCACAATGTGCCCCTAAAACACGTCACACACATTCTGCCAGGTACTTTGATCAGAAGGTTTACTATTCCCTTCATTAAAATAAAATCCATTAATGTTACTATAATTAGCATTAAATATATCAATAAATATGAAGAATTACATAATTAAGCCACTGATACTAGTTTCCTTTTTTGTTTGTTTGGTTTCTTGTTTTGTTTTGCAGTACCAAAGATTGAACCTAGGATTTCTGTGCTGAGATCCACCCCCAACCCTTCTTTCTAGTCTTTATTTGTGACACAAGAGCTCACTAAGTCATTAAGGTACCCAGGCTGGGCTTGGACTTGCTCTCCTCCTGCCTCAGCCTCCCAGAGCGCTGGGATTACAGCTGTGTGCCACCACGCCCAGCCACTTTTTTATTCTTTTGAAGGTACCCATTGACAGATATGTTTTATCTAAACTTCTACTATCAACAAATGTTTAACAACAACACCCACTGATGGTTTAAAATGGACAGGACATCACTTAGGCCCACTGTTACCTCCATTTTACAAGTGAAGAAACTACGTGGAGATTAAGTAACAGGTCCAAAGCCACTCAGGAGATGGAAAAAGCAGAATTCAGACGACAACCCACCCAGCACCCTGGGTTCAGAAGCGCGCTGTGCACCCGGCGCCACACGGAAACACAGCTTTCCGGTGCTCCGCGCCCTGCGCACAGTCACGTGAGTGTGAGTCAATCTGCAGTGTGACACAGTGACACAAGGACACAAACGCAGTGTACCCGTGTCATCCACGTGTCTCTACCCACGTGTGGGCGTGAGTTCACAGAGACAGAACCGTCAGGTGAGCACACACACATTCCATAAACCTGCCGTCGTCACAGGACACTTGCTCTGGAGTTGTCCGCCACTTCTTCCTCTAATTTCCCGATATCGCAAAGAGGTGCTCAGTGTCTCACCTGCAGCGTTTCCCGGGACTCTTCCTCCTGCTCCGCAGCAGACCTCATCAGTTGTTTCCAGTTGGCTTCTCTCAAGTTCAGGTCAGGTTTGCACTCTTGGAGCCTCGGAACGCTCAGCTTCTTCTCCTCTCTGAGCAGCCGGAGCCTCACCCTGTATTCAGACGCAACCATCTCTTTAAAATTCCGCTCCTCCTCCTTCCTCAGATAGGAACAGAGTAGATTTTGGGTTAAATATGAGAGATCTCAGTTACGTATCCCACTTCCATTCTAACCACAGTGTAAGACAAAGGAACAGGAAGAACGGGGGGAAAAATAAAACGCATAAATCCAAAGGACGGAGAAAGTCTGCATTAAGGTTCACCAAGACATCGACAGTCTTGAAATTATGAAGTGATGCTGTTGAGATCTACTGACACGTTAGATGGCAGGGGTGGGAAACACGGATTCGGGATGGGAGACAGCATGGCTTTTAGATTGAGTGCCTAGGAGTATGGAGCTACCAGCTTACAGTAAGAGGAACAGCTCAAAGTCTGGACTCCAGAGGCAGGCAGTGTATCAGGAACTCAGTTTTGGATATGACACGTGATTAGTCAGTTAGACATCCAAGGAGACAGCCAAGTAGGAATTGGATTGAAAGTTTTCTATCTGGAACTCCAGGCAAGAGACATAAATCTGGGACTAGTTATCTGAGACGTGCTATTTAGTCCTATGAGATTCAGTGGAATAAAATTTTAAGAATCTGACCATTGCTCACCACCGCGGCTACAACTGGTTCACCACTGCTTGGTCCTGACTATACTGAGTTTCTTTTTAGGTCTCCCCACCTCTGCTTTTATCCTCCTAAAATACATCCTCACTTTGGCAGCTAGAGTGGTTCCATGCACGTTAAATCTTGCCGCTTTTCTGTTCAGTACCTTCTAGTGGTTTCCTTATTTTATTTAAAGTTTACTGTCCAATATTATTAGGCCTTTTACCTTCTGACCTCATCATCTGCAGCCTCCACCTCCTTTTCTCGCCTCAGCCAGTACACAACAGGACCTGTGACCAGTACTTCTGCTGATTCCCTCTGCCTAGCAGACTCCTGTGTGGTTTAACCCTTTACCGCCTTCTAGGAATTACGTGTTTGATACTCTTTTTTGTTTGTTTGTTTGTTTGTTTGTTTTTCTTCCAGTACCAGGAATCAAACTCGTGACCTTGTACTTGCCAGGCAGTCACTGTGCTGCTGAGCTAAATCCCCAGCCCTGGAATTACGTGTAAAATATTGCATATGTAGCTTACTGTGGTTATGTCCATGTGTAAGTTTCATAAAGGCAACTGTTTCTGAATGCCCAAATACCCAGAACCTTGCATGCTCCCTGGTAAAGAGTAGGGCTTCAATATTTGTCAAATATGTTATTTGGGGCTGAAAAAATGTGGATCAATTGAGAAATTGTTATACATCTAGGTAACTACCTCCCTTATTGCCTCCAAATGGACACATGCATCCTCTAAAAATTAAGAGAAAAGACCCAGAATGTGGAATGCCTGGAACAGAACGAGGATAAGTATGCAGACACAGTTTGAAATTAGAAATGAGAACTACACAAAGGAGGGGAGCCCTCAGTTTGGATAGCAGTTCTTAAATTGCCCTCTAGGGTTTTCCAATTTCTATGGTCACCAAAAACACCCAAGATGCTCATTTTCCCATGTCACTCTTCTAAAGGGTGATATTAAATCTTTTTGATCTAGGGCTGGGGATTTAGCTCAGCAGCACAGCACCTGCCTGGCAAGCGCAAGGTCATGAGTTCAATTCCCAGTACCGGAAGAAAAACAAAAAAACAAAATAAAGCAAACAAAATCTTTTTGATCTTTGCCCACAAGCCTTGTAAATATTGTATCACTATTTAATATAATTCCTACTTGCTCTTACTATAAGCAAAATTCAAAATTCAAAATAGTTTTGTATGTTTAAAACACATCTATAGGGGCTGGGGATTTAGCTCAGTGGCACAGTGCCTGCCTGGCAAGCGAGAGGTCGTGAGTTCGATTCCCAGTACTGGAAAAAAACAAAAACAAAAAACCAAACCAAACCAAAACAAAACAAAACACATCTACAAAAGTAAAAGAAACACAGCAAAACTCAAATGAGAAAACTAAATGAAAAATAAAAAAGTGCAAAAGGGGATATTTATGTTTTCTTTTTCCAAATTTAAGTTTTTGATCTTTTTCCTATTGAATTTCCAGTTTATTCCTAATGGACTTCTTGGGTGGGGGTTTGAGGCAGGGTCTTGTTATGTAGTTCAGGCTGGCCATGAACTCACTGTGTAGCCAAGGATGGCCCCAATCAAACTCACAGCGATCCTCCTGTTTCGATCCTCCTGTTTCAGCCTACCGGGAGCTGGGATTATAGGCGTGTGCCACCACGCCCAGCTCGCTAACAGACTTTTAAAAGCTCTTTAGCATATTAGCACTTCAGGCCCCATGGGTGTCAAATACTGTTTTCTGGTTTTGCCTTTTAACTTTGTTTAGGAGATATTATTGCCTATTTAACGTTATTGATACTTTCTTCCAAGAACCAAGAGAAGCACTGACCTGAATCATCATCATTCTTTCTTGCTCATCAGCCAATATACTTTTAGCGACTTCAGCTTTCTCCCTCAATGGCTTCAGTAGTTCTTGGAATAACTTCTGTAGAGAAATACATGACAGAATTCCAGTTAAGTCAGAATAATGGATTCCTATCTCTAGACAGCTAAAGGGTTAGAATGATGACTCTTTTCTTAGCTTTGAAGTTTTGACTAAATATAGTATATTTCTGTGGGTATTTCTTAATAAGCATTAAGTTTGGGAATGGTTTTGCAGGATCAGAATACCTGCCCAATCCATCCAGAAGGAGCCGGCCCCGTGCTTTGAGAGTGTGTGAAACTTACCCTGTATTTCTCGGCAGCTACCAGTGTGCTGTGTACCGCGTGACGCTTGTGCTCCCCGGACAGGAGGCATTGGCTGCACAGTGCGACCTGGTCGTCCTCACAGAACAGCTCTAGCGGTGCCAGGTGTGCTGCGCAGTGGGGCTCTTCTGTCGCACTGTGCTGGAGCCAGGGCCTTTTGGACATCCTGGCTGGACTCAACAGCTGAAGAGTGGACTGCTGGTGCCAGGTGCGAGTGCCTTCCTGTGCTCTGAACAGGAACAACAGCAGGCTTCCTCCTTGTTCTGGAGCAGGTACTCGGGGACCTCAGGGTCTACAGGGAAGCATCAGAGACGCGAGGACAGTCCATGCAGACAGAGCAGGTCAGCGTATCCCGGACTCCTGGAGCAGGTCAACAGATCCAACAAAGCTTTGGGGGTCACTGGCTTGAGGAAAAGCATAGCAAAGACATTAATATTCCCAGTCGAAGGGGTTGTCTCTTCTGACAGTCTTAAGCAACAGGCTGAAAAACTGTTACAAACAACAACAGAGCACAGCACTTCTCTCTGAGTCATTTAAGAAAAGATACAAAATGTTCAGTAAGAAGTGTAGGTGTAACACCCGCCGGAGGACGCTGGGACCGGCGGAGGCACAGCCAAGCCCTCGGGCACACACTGGGCACACACTTACGGCAGGGTTCACTCTGCCGGGGCAAGACCAAAAAGGGAAGGACTCTGTGAGCGCCTCTTACATGGCAGGTTCCCACAAGCCAAGCATAAGGAGACCTTTATTCTCAAGGTGACATACATACACATGAGCCCGAGAGCTGGGTATCTCCTTAAATTCTGTATCGAAGGTGTTTAGCTTGCGTGACC